TAGGGAGTTTGAACAACAGTCGGTGAGAGGCAGAAAGAAATGTTATCTGTATGTAGAAAGGCCACTATAGGCAACATAAAAATGAGAACAGAATTCAAATGTAGGAAGCCTTTAATTGTCCAGTATCCAAGTTCTCGAAAAGATAAGGATGCTTACCTTGCCCATTTGGAAGAAAGTATATGGTGCTTTTTTTTTTTGGTCACATTTATTATTATTTTTAAAATTCAGATGGAAAGTGCTGTTCCCTATCCCAAACAAGCATACATCAGACCCATGGATCAGACACTCCCCCTCATCAACCTACAGCATTTTCACGACACACGAAAGACTTTCTCGATTCCTATTAAAAGCAGCAGTGCACCTAAAAGATCACCGTAATACCTAATGTTAAGCATCATTAATTGCCAGTATAATTTTTCATAAACATGGAGAAAATCTCTTCAAGAGGCAATGTAAATCCCCAGTCACCATTTTCTCCTCTAGAAAGGATCAAACTTTCTTCAGGAAGGGAAGATGCTGAGTAGGAAATGCATCATTGTAAGACACTTTATGATACTTTGGACTGTGTGGCAAATGGCTATTTACATGAAACCATTCATTTCCTGCAGTGTGGTTCCCAAGTGTTTGCCTTCTTGGAACAATGACGGGAAAATTCCTAACACAAGAAGGACTATGACGACAGCCCTACTTACGTGTTGCTCTTACTAGTCTTGGAAAATGTCCCATTGTCCTTCATGCATTAGATGAATCTAAAATAAGCAAGAAGTCTAGACAGTGGAAACCATATATCAGATCTATGTTTTACTTAGTATTGTAAAGTGGAAGGCACTCAGGAACCTCTAGTCTGATGAAAGACAAATTAGGAAAATACACAAGGGTAAAAAATATATATGTTGGGTAACAAGTCTTTGGCTACTTTCCTAGTTAATTACCAGCTACTTCAAGTCTTTTCAAGAAGTGAGTGGGGTAAAAATAATACATAAATGAATAAAATTGTGTTAATCAAGTTTGAAAGCAGCTAATTTCTAATGTGTCCTCAACCTTCAAGACTGCTATCTGACCAATTTTGATTATATCCAGCAAGTGTTTATTGGGCCCAGTCTATGTGATCCTTTGCCAATCTATGTGATGCCACACCAATCTATTTTGTTAATTACTACATCTCAACACAACAGATGTTTCACATCTTTTTATTTGGACAAACTTTGGGCACGCTTACTATTGAGTGTTCATTTTCCTTTTGCCATTCGAATGCCCTGATAACTCAAAATTAATTAGTGGCCTTCAATTTTGTTCTTTCCCACATTTGCTTTGGATATTCTGGGTCATTTGGATTTCCAAATGAATTTTTGAATCAGCTTTCGTTTTTTACCAAAAAAAAAAAAAAGAAAAAAAAAGGCTTCTGGGATTTTTATTGGGATTGCACTGATTGTAGGTAGCAATTTGGAGAAAATTGATTATCTTCATAATGTTGAATCCTCTGACTTACAAAATACATATCTCCATTCATTTTATCCCTCTTTAATTTCTCTCAGCATGGTTTCATAGTTTCCAGGACACTTCTTTTGTCAGATGTATCCCTTTTTTTAATGTTTATTTATTTATTTTTGAGAGAGAGAGAGAGAGAGAGCACAAGCAGGGGAGGGGCATAGAGAGAGAGGGAGACATAGAATCCAAAGCAGGCTCCAGGCTCTGAGCTGCCAGTGCAGAGCCCAATACTATAAGGGGCTCAAACCCATGAACTGCAAGATCATAACCCAGGCCAAAGTCAGATGCTTAACCAACCAAGCCACCCAGGAGCCCCCAGATTTATCCTTAAATATCACTAGTATCATGCTATTGTAAATGTCATTGCTTTTCGATGTTTCAATTATTCATTGCTAGTTTACAGAAATATAATTCACTTTTGTATATTGATCTTGTATACCAAAACTTTGTTCAACTAACTGATTGATTCTAGTATCTTTCCTGTAGACTACACTGAGTTTTCTACGTAGACATTCATGTTGCCTTAAAAAAAACCAAAAAGCTTTTATTCCTTTTTAAAATGATGCCTTGTCTTTCTTCCTCTTGCCTTATTACACTGGTTAGAGCCTCCAATATGGTGTTGAATACAAGGGGTGAGAGCAAGCATTCTCATCTTTATCTTCATATCGAGAAGAGCATTCAGTCTTTTGCCATTGAGTTTTATGGTAGTTGTAGGTCAGTAGATGTCTTCTATTGAGTTGAGGAAGTTCCCTTCTATTCCTAGTTTCTAAAGAGGTTTTAATAGAAACAGATGTTGGGTTTGTCAGACCTTCCTACATCTGCAGGGATGATTATGTGGGTTTTCTTTTTTGGTTTGGTGAATTACATTGATAGTATTTAAAATGTTAAACCAACCTTGCATTCCTGATATAAATCTCACTTGCTCATAATATGCTTTTTATTTTTTGTTACATTTGATTGTTGTATTTTTAAAAAGAATTCTTACACCTAAGTTAAGGAGAAGTATTGATCCAAAGTTTTCCTGTCTTGTAATATTTTTACCACAGTAATTTTAGCTTTATAGAATGAGTTTAGAAGTATTCTCTTTAATTTCTAGAAAAGTTTGTGTAAAAATCGTATTATTTGCAAATGTTTGGTAGAATTCATGAGCCCTACTTATATGTTACTCTTACTAGTCTTGGAAAATGTCCCATTGTCTTTCATGCATTAGATGAATCTAAAATAAGCAAGAAGTCTAGACAGTGAAAACCGTATATCAGATCTATGTTTTGCCCCCATAAGCCATCTGGGCCTATAATATTCTTTATTAACTACAAATTGAAGTCCTTTTTATAGATGTAGAGGTATTCAGGTCTATTCTTTTTTTATTGAGATGTAAATGACATACAATATTGTATTAGCTTTGGGTGTAAGCATAAGGATTATATATATAATATGTAATAATAATTGTATAGTATGTCATATATACAATATCATATATATTATACCTGAATTCTATATTGCTGAATGATCACCACAATAAATTCAGTTAACATCCACCACTAGACAGTTATAATTTTTTTCTTGGGATGAGAACTTTTAAGATTTACTCTCAGCCGTTTTTGAACATACAATAGCGTTAACTACAGTCACCATGCCGCACATTATATCCCAATAATTATTTATCTTATAACTCTAAGTTTGTATCTCTTGAACTCCTTCACCCACCTCTCCATGTACTCTACCCCACGCCTCACAAATCAGAGGGTTTAAAAAAAATTTTTTTTTGATGTTTTATTTATTTTTAAGAGAGAGAGAGACAGAGTGCAAGCAGGGAAAAGGCAGAGAGAGAGGGAGACACAGAATCCCAAGCAGGCTCCAGGCACCGAGCCATCAGCACAGAGCCCCACACGGGGCTTGAACTTGCAAACTACGAGATCATGACCTGAGCTGAAGTTGGACGCCCAACCGACTGAGCCACCCAGCTGCCCCATGAATCATATGGTTTTTTTTTTTAATACAACTTCTGGGAATGGGCACTATTCCTCGGCCTGTGTGAGCTCAGGAGCTATTTCCTCTGACCATTTCGGGTTGTTCGTTTTCTAGCTTCAGATGGTTTCCTCACACACATGCGATTATTTCTCAGCTGACTACTGCAGGAGAACCTTCTGTGGAGTTCTGCGTTTCCGTCTGTGCACAGCTCTCCTCCCCTCAGTGTTCTGTCCTGCGACCTCTATCTGTCTTGGTCTCCTGAGATCCTCAGTCTCAAATCAGACTCCAGTAGGCTGTACTTGAGCTCTCTCTCTTGGTGACACAGCCCAAGATGAGACCTCGCTCACGGCAACAAGCTGGAGTGATCATAGGACTTACTTTACTTGTTCCTTTTCATTCAGGATCATTATCTTCTATTACCTGATGTCCAGAGTCTTGAAAACTATTGCTTCTTTTTTTAAATTTTTATTTATTTATTTTTGAGAGAGAGAGGTCGGGGGAGGGGCAGAGAGAGAGGGAGACAGAGAATCCCAAGCAAGCTCCACACTGTCAGTGCAGAGCCCCATGTGGGGCTCAAACTCATGAACCGTGAGATCATAACCTGAGCTAAAACCAAGAGTCGGGCGCTTAACCGACTGAGCCTCCCAGGAGCCCCGAAAACTGTTGTTCCTTATAGGTGTTGTCTGTGTTTCTTTCCTCCCCAGACGGGAGAACAAATCCAGTCCCCTGTTACTCCATCTTACTGAAAGCTGAATTGCTTCTTTTTTAAAGCCATGGCAAAAACGGGTTTTTCTACTACTTTACCTGAACTTAATCCTAACCATCACAGATCAGGGTTAGCAATTAAATACAGAATTAGTAAACTAGAAAAATATGAAGAAAGTATTCAGAATGTAGCACAGAGGAAACAAGAAATAGAAAATTAAAAAAAAATTATAAGAGACAATGGAGGTAGAATGAAAAACTGTAAAATATTTCTTGCATTCCCCTTTTTCCTCCTGGGATTAGTTTCTTTCCTACTAATGTACATCCTTTTTTCATTCTCTCAGTGATGGAAAGTCCATGATTTGTAAAATGTCAGGCTCCATCTGTTTGAAATTGTCTTTATTTCGCCTTGTTCTTGAATAATAATTGAGCTAGATGGAACTTTCCCGGTTGACAACCACTTTCTCCCATTACTGGAAGGCATTATTCTGTTGCTTTCTGGTCTCTTGTAATGCTAATGAGAATTCTGCCTTTAGTCTAATAAAAGGTAATCTACCTTTTATTCTGATTGCTTTTATTTTTTTTAATTTTTGATGTTTTTATTTATTTTTGAGAGAGAGGAAGTGACAGAACATGAATGGGGGAGGAGCAGAGAGAGAGGGAGACACAGAATCTGAAGCAGGTTCCAGGCTCTGAGCTGTCAGCCCAGAGCCCGACGTGGGGCTCGAACTCGTGAACCGCGAGATCAGGACCTGAGCCAAAGTCAGATGCTTAACCAACTGAGCCACTTAGACACCCCTATTCTGACTGCTTTAAAATTTTTCTTTTGTTTTTAGTATCATGCTGCTTGTTCCTGACCATTCGTCAGAATTTCCTTCCTTTCTAAGACTGAACGATATTTCATTGTAGGTATGTGCCACATTTTGTTGAAATTCTTAATTTTTTTTTAAACAAGGATTCCTGCATTTTCATTTTGCCCTGGCCCTGCAAATAATGTAGCTGGTCCTGCCTTTATTCTATCACATGAGAGTTTTATTGGAAAAGCTGTAAAAGAATACAACATCGGAGGCATTCATAGCGTATGCTTTACAAGATGATTTTACTGGTCCAAGAGAAAATCACTCAGAGGGTTAAGCCCTTCACAGATAGGCCCAGTGTGCCCTGCCCTGTCCCCCAATTCTCAGGTCTATGTCCCCCTGAGGGGGGCTTTCGTTTGCAAACCACCAGAACGTGAACCTTCATCTCCCTTTGGAGAAATGCACCCCATACTCACTGGCATCAGGAATGTCCTAGAATCCCCTTGCACCCATTTGCACACCTGAACCAATACGATCCTTAGGGCAATCGCTTGCAACAAGACGTTTCCCCAATTAAGCCAGAGTATCACTGGCAGACAGGGTTTTTGTTTAGGGACAGTTCGGGATAAATGTTGGCATTCCAGGTTCAGTGCTCTTTGAGATTTCCCTGGTAGTGTAATGCACAAACTTGCTTTATTCTTATTCTTTCTGGGTCATCTCATAGGTAACTATTCTCTCGGGAGAGACATGAAGTCTTCCAAACATCATGACCAAGATCCATGCTAGGGATGAGAAACATTTCTCTAATTACAACATAGTATAGTGTGCTCTCACTGCTCCCTTGAGGGGATGGAGATATATATGATTATGCACTGAAGTGACAGGCCGCCCTTTGTCTCCTTCCTAATTCCAGAATTTGACCAGAGACCCAGAGCACATAAAAAAAACGAGCCCTAGTACATGTAACTTTTTCTAACAACAGCCATTTGCTTTTTAGTGCCTCTCCTCGGGCCACACAAAGACCTAGTGAAGCTTTGACATAAGGGTTTTTTGGTACCTTACACCGATGGCATTTGTAAGCAGAGCATTCCATGCTAAAAAGCGAATCAGAATTAAAGTATTTTTCTAATTTAAAGCAATTCCCGGGGTAAGAGGGTAGGATAATTCAGGTTATGTGTGTGTGTTGGGGGGCGGGGGACAGAGGTACTGCTCATAACATGTGTTTAGAATGAATGAAAGCATGTGAAATTGAATTGGATGACAAAACAATCCTTAGAGAAAAGTCTGTGAGGTAGCTGGAATTCTAAGTATAAATGAAAGAGGTCAGACCTCCCTATAATAAAAATGAAGCTTTGGCTACACGATTACAGCTAGTGTTTTTGATCTGGCTGTTAAGGATCCCGCAAATAGTTGAAAGGCAATTTAATTTATTAATAGGTTGTCTAGAACTGAGCTGACCAGCATGATGGCGAGTGGTCACAGGTGGCGCTGAGCCCTTGAAATGTGCTACAAAGTGGACATTTCACACTTGAGTTTGAAGACTTGGTATGAAAAAAAGGAGAACGCTACGTATTTCATGAATATTAACAATGACAGCATTTTATACATATTGGGTTAAATAAGATAGTAGTTAGATACACTTTATATCTGCTTCTTTTTGCTTTTTCAATGGGGCTACTAGAATGTTTAGAATCGTTTAGAATAGTGTACGTGGTTTACATTACATCTCTGTTGGAGAGCACTGGTCTAGAACCCATCTAGTTTCTGATACAAACCCACTTAGTTTCAGACCTCTGGTTTTCTCGGATTTACTCTCATCCTGAAGATTTCATCCCATTCTGTACTGGCAGCTTGGGTCTCAGATGCATCATTTGTTGGTACGTGACCCCCGCCCACCTCTACGTCTCTACAACTCATCTTCTGCACACGCTTCGGGGACAGGGAGAATCTATTTCTTTGAGGAAAATACCCAAATTGTTATTCTAAGGTGGCTTTTTTTGTTTAACTGAAATTCAGAATAGAATGAGGAATGAATTGTGAAATTTGGCAGAACTTTTCTTTTCAATATCAGTGAGTCTGTCAACCGTGCTATATAAAGACAGACATGACTGGGGCGCCTGGGGCGCTCAGTCGGTTGAGTGTCCGACTTCAGCCCAGGTCATGATCTCATGGCTCATGAGTTCGAGCCCCGTGTTGGGCTCTCTGTTGACAGCTCAGATTCTGTGTCTCCCTCTCTCTCTTTCTCTCGCTCCCTCAAAAATAATAAAACATTGTTTAGAAATTAAAAAAAAAAGATATGCATGATCGAAAGCCTCTGATGTCTTCCTCACTGTCCTTGCCAGAGAAGAAACAACTCATGAAACCAGAGACAGCACTTGTGCAAAAGCAGGATTTCACTAGGTTTTATTCTCTAGCAGGCAGCTAACTTTTAATGTGAGGAAGTGCACGGAAAATGCTATGCTCAGGGTACCCAGGGAAGACTTATTTCAGAGACTTATTTCATCACGTCAATGGCTGGAATTACAGGGCAGACAGAGGAGAGAGAAACAAAGAGAAAGGGTCATAAGAAGAACATATTTTGTAGGGTTTCATTACTTAATGTAAGTTAAGAATATACCATATGCGTTAATGTTTCATTTTTTGAGCAAAAGTTTTCCATTTTGAGAGTTGGCTGATAAGCGAGGAATGAATGTAATTTTACAATATTTTGAACATTTTAAAATTCATTCTGTGTTGTGTTGAACAAAAGATGTAGCAAAGGAAACGTAGCTAACTCATTTGTATTTTGTAGTTTATGTAATGACGCTGAAGTATCGAGCATATACTTTGAGCTTAGAATAAATATATATTGTTGTGTCCCCAAATTTTGGATTCATACTTTTCTATGGTCCCAGTACTTAAACATACAAACTTATTTAGGGGTGCCTGCGTGACTCAGTTGGTTGAGCGTTCAACTCTTGGTTTCAGTTTAGGTCATAATCCCAGGGTCATGGGATTGAGCCCTGCACTGGGCTCCATGTTGAGCATGGAGATTTTCTCTCTCTCTCTCTCTCTCTCTCTCTCTCTCTCTCTCTCTCTCTCTTTCTCTCTCTCCCTCTGCCCCTCTCCCCCACTTGCACGCACACTCTCTCTCTCTCTTTCTCTCAACATTTAAAAAATATATTTAGGATTATTTTTCAAGTTTGGAGGCCTATTTCCTGACCCCACTCATGGCCTGCGCCTGAAATAACTCCTGATAAAATACAATGTCACATTTATTTTAATGCCTCTAAAGTAAATGGTGATGCTGGTGTTTCCCAGCTAGGTGAATGAACAGCTTTATGTAGCCTAGATGAAATGCTGCTTACCTGACTCTACTAAATGTGTCTTTAATGTTGAACCAGCACAACAGCTGTGGTGGTGATTATTATGAAATTCAATCTAAACTTTATATCTAAGAAACCTTTCATTGTCTGAGGACTTTCTTTCTGGCCACTGGAGCACTGACGTTCTGCCTTGTGCAAAGGCTGAGCCGTAAATGCCTGAGAATTCAGACCCCAAGAAGTCGCTCACAACCCATGTCAGGTGAGGATAAATCTCACAGTTTTCTTGCCCCTTAGTTACTGTAATGTTGAGGCATATTCTGCCCTAGCACTCCATAGATTATCACTTGGGGATATTGTTAAAAATTCCCGTTCTGATTCGGCGGATTTGGGGCTGGAGCTTGAGCTGATGGTAGTGATCCACTTAGGGTAGGAAGTTTTGTTGTTGTTTTTTTTAATGTTTATTTATTTTTGAGAGACAGAGCATGAGCAGGGGAGGAGCAGAGAGAGGGAGACACAGAATCCGAAGGAGGTTCCAGGCTCTGAGCTGTCAGCACAGAGCCTGATGTGGGGCTCGAACTCACAAGCCACAAGATCATGACCTGAGCTGAAGTCAGACCCTTAACCGACTGAGCCATAGGGTAGGAAGTTTTACACAATCCCCTGGCATTCCCCCACAGAATTAAGCTCCATTTGCCCTCAGTGGGAAGTTGCTTGATTATTCTTTCATTTACTTCCCTTCTCTGTTTCTTATCCCTTCCCTTACTAGTGTTTGCTATTTGCATTGGATCCTTATTTTAAGGGCTGCTTCTGGGGGAACCCAAACTAATGATACACATACATACATGTCTTGATATCGTAACACCTACTTCTATCTTGATATCTAAATCTCTCTAGATTTATTCTATCTATCTATCTATCATCTATCTTGAACACAGCAACACAGTGCAGCCTCTTACATCCAGCAATGGAAGCATTAGAAGAGAAAAGAGAAAGGCATCCAGGAGAAGCTGGAAAGAGAAAGTAGATCGTCACCAGCTAAAGTGACTCTTTTCTGCCTCCTTATGTCATTGTGAAAAAGATTTGATATTGTGGAGCTCTGGTTAAAGAAGACACCATGCAGTTAGCTAAGGCTGCATAGACAGTGCCCCTCTAAAAGCCCACGGAGTGATAGCCGTTCTACTCAGAAACGTGGGTAAAGACTTTTTGTCCTATTCTATTATTCAGGACACAGTGTCGAGGGCGTTGGTCATGGCGGGGTGGGGGGGAGGTCATGGAAAGAAGGTAGGTAAAATGTTAATCTTGGAAAGGACATGAAAGCAGCGAAGCAGAGAGACTCCGGGTCAGGTGGCAGGAAGGCAGGGCCACACCTCCAGGCTCATGGGTCAGCTCCGGAAAGAAGAGGAAAATTAGCAGATGGGCTTGGCAGATGTTCACCCAGGATTCTTTAGTGACCTTGTGCAACTGATACAATGTGTGCCACTCATCTTGTAGAAATGTGACTGAAAGCAAAGCTCTGGACTTTCTGGGCTCAAATCCCAACTCCTCCACTTAGTTTTGCCACCTTAACATTTTATTCAAGCCCTTTAAGCATCAATTTCCCCATCTCTGTAGCGAGGACCATAATGCCTATTTCATAGCATTGCGATGAAAATTAAATGAGATGTTTAATAAACATTAATTAAACGTGTGTTTACGGGGCGCCTGGGTGGCGCAGTCGGTTAAGCGTCCGACTTCAGCCAGGTCACGATCTCGCGGTCCAGGAGTTCGAGCCCCGCGTCGGGCTCTGGGCTGATGGCTCAGAGCCTGG